GCGGTGGGTGTTCTTTTGTCAGTTTGCCCCATGTGGGAGGATTTATGTAATATGAGCACCGCCACCGAAATGCCGCCCGGCGCCGGGGGGGGGGCGGCTGGGGAATTCTGGGAGTTGAAGTCCACGTGTCTTAAAGTTGCTAAGGTTGAGAAACACTGCTGTACAGGCTGAACCCTTGTCGCTGCCCACGACCTCTGCTCTGAAACGTTTTGTGGCACAAGATGCTGACCCCCCCGCCCCTGCCCCACCCCGAGTTACAGTAATAGGAAATAGGAAACCTAATGCCCTGATATCAAGGGTTCTCCATCCATTCTTTGGGAGCAAAGAAAGGAGAAGGAGATGGGAACCGTTGAGTTAGGAGGAACACAGAAAAATGGGGAGTGATGCGGCTGGTTGGCTCAACCGTCGTTCATTAGTCCTTTCTCTCTTCTCCTCCCCCCGCCCCATCATTTTTCGTAGCCTTCCGCCGGATTGGGGGCTACCACAACCTGGAGGAGGCCTACTTAGCTGCCACCCCGTCGAAGATTGTCCCCAACACGACTTGCCACCTGCCCAGGCGGGACGCAATGCATCTCTTCCGGGACCCCGTCACCGGAGACCTGCCCTGGACGGGCATGACTCTGGGCCTCTCCGTCTTGGCCACCTGGTACTGGTGTACCGACCAGGTAATTCCAAAGCTGCTCGGCCCCCTCCTGCGGGCAACAGCCGTCCCGTTCGTCGTTTTGGTGTCTCCCGCGGTCTTACTGCTCCTTGGGGTGGGCGGTCCCCGCAGGCTTCCTTTTGGGCTCGGACAACTGGGATGCCTTGCTCTTCAGGTGCTTCGACTGAGACAGCTTGGACAGAGGGATGCCCAGCGGAGTCCCCATTTCTTTTGGGGCCCTGTGGCCTTCGTGGAACGGGGTCAGGACTTGACCAGCGGCTCTTGAGGCGCTGGCGCCACCTCCGTGGGAGAGGGGGCCGGGCTGGGCGTTCTTGGCAGAGGCGAGGTTTTTCTTTTGCCAGTACAAGGGGCTGACGAGGCCTGGGGCGAGTTTCTTGGCCCCAGTTCTGTCCTGCTGACGCTTGCCCTCTTCTGGGCTTTTCCTCGGCTGGGGACGGCTTTTGCCTCTTTCTGCCGACACCTGCACCCTGGATCCGTAGCAGAACAACTGGGACCTCTGTGGACAGAGCAGAAAGCAGGAAGAGGTGACCGTCAGCATCGGAACCTGCACATCCGACAAGAAAAGGCTTTCGAAACGTACGCGTGTGACCGTGCCCGGTACGCAGCTCAGTTTTGCAGAGCCAGGAGACAGAGTCCTGCCCCCACAAACAAACCAGAAGCAACTTTATTTTGATTAAGCTTAAAAACAGCAGGGTATTGAAGCGAGGAGTTGGGCTAAACTTTCAGGGAGAAGCTGAACAGAGCAGCGCAAGGAGAGGAGAAAGAGTGACAGGGAAGAGTTCAGCAAAGAGATCTGAAGAAGGCAGAGGCTGATAGTTTTATATATGGGACTGATGTATTGATCTGGTTTTGGCTGCAGCGTGAAGCCTTTTCTCTACAGGGAGAAGAGCGAAACTTTCATGGCAACAGAGCAGAGTTGCAAATATTTAGATGGCAATACAAAATAGCTTGGGCACCACACCTAGTCAGCAAATACAGTTCCAAACGCAAGGCTTTTGTTTCTGCCAAGCTGGACGCAGGCCTGGGTTTTACAGGTTCCTCTTCTGAACTGCGGTTATCAATCCATCACCATCATTGCCATCCCAATTTTTTTCCAGGATGCTCCAGGCTCGGTCAAAATGGGGGATGTGCAGTTTAGGAGCATTTGAATCACCAGCTGGTTCCCAAAGAATAGTCACATTCCCCTGAATTGGGATCTCCCTTTGGAACAGCTTTCCGCAGGGATTCGGGCTGGGTCCTAATCGAAGGAAAAAAAAAGTGGTTTCAGAGTCTTCCTGAAGGCAGTCTAAGTTCTTGAGGGGGCAGGAGACAAATGCGGACATGTCCTGAGGCCCTGAAATCTTGTTTGGCCATTGGAAATCTCAGCAGGACCATCTAGCTTGTAGCTGGTGGCATTCCAAGTTGGGTGCACGATGTGACCGGGTTGAAGGCATCCAACGCTTCCTTCAGAATGTAATCCAGATTCACATTAATACTTATTGATTCAGTCTAGATCAGCGTTTCTCAACCTTGACAACTCTAAGATGTCTGGACTTCAACTCCCAGCATTCCCCAGCCAGCCATGCTGGCTGGGGAATGCTGGAAGTTGGAGTCCAGACATCTTAGAGTTCCTAAGGTTGAGAAACGTTGATCCAGATGAAGTCCATCCAAGGAACCTTCTTGTTTCTTTGTATTTTGTGGAAGGGCCACCTCTGCCCTTCCCTAAAGGATGGAGGGCTTGTGGCTCAAAGGGAAGAATCCTCAGTTTTTGGACTGCACCCTTCCTTAGTGTGACTTTTTCAGTTCTGGGATAACGGGAGAATGCCGATTTCACTCTTGCGTCTCTCCAGGTCATTGTCCAAAGGTCCCTCTCGGCCAGGAACCTCAACCACGCCAAGGCCGGCTCCATCCTCGCCAGCTATTTGAAAATGCTGCCAATGGTTGTCATCGTTATGCCAGGCATGATTAGCCGAATTCTGTACCCAGGTAAGCCGCTCCCCAGGAAAAAATGTCACGGAGGACAAACTTGTCTGGTTTTCTCATACGTGAGAGGCCCGAAGACCATAGCCTGCACAGCTGGGGCACCCTGAGGGCAGCTGGGGAGGAAGACCGCCTCCGAGCAGGCATGTAACCCCAGCTAGCATGATCTGCAGGTTTCTTTTCTCATCTCCTTTCAAAAGCCCATCTTGGAAGACAGCTAAGAAGAACAAAGCTTTTCTTTCTCTTTTTAACACATCGGCTACTGTGACAGATTCGTATTAGTTCTATAAACCCTCTCGCGTCTTGCTTTTCCTTAAAGCGCTGGTAGCGATAGAAGCGCCATTCCAGAACGAAAACAGGAGCCGATAAACAGCATATTCGAGGAGAAGTGACTCTTGGTCAAGACAGGTCCCTGTTTCTTCCTCGAACTGAAGCATCCCCCAGGCCCAGGGGGCCATTCCTGCCCTACGTGGCCTTTGAAATGCTGGTGGAATAGAAAATGGGACTCCTTTGCTGGTTCCCTGGCATCTCTAGTTTGTGCCCTGAGTAGTTCATGTGACGGATTTGCCCTTGCAAAGGGAACTTTGTTTGGTTGGAGAAGTGGCCTGGAGCAATCGCTGCGATTTTATTTATTTGATTCTATTTTATTTTGCAACGTGTGTGTGCATGCGGGGACACAGAGCTGCCAACTGGCTCTGCTGTTGTTTGACATGAAAGACAAGCCTTGGCGTCAGGGTGGCTTTACAAAAGCTTAGCTGGTGTTTTTCCTGTACGTGTGACAATGGACAGCTTCTTAAAGCAAAAGGTTCTCTGTTTTGGTCCCCAGCCTGGCCCAGGCAAGTAGCTGCAACAGGATTTCCAGGGTGCAGGTGCATGCACCCAGCTTGGCAAATGCAGAACAATGCCATTGATCTCTCAAGTGGCCTGGTACAGGGCAGTTAATTGGGCCACGTTACTATTTCTCTTGCCCCTGGAATGGAATCACCTGCTCACTTCCTGAACCAGTTCAGGATGTCACAGGCAGAAATAATCTCTTGTGCACATCTATCGACATGAGGATGAGCTGTGCAGGAAACCTGTTGAACATCTCAGAACGGCACACATGGATGGAGATGAGAGGTATTTCTATCCGTAGCCTGTTCTGGGGTCCCACAGGGTCACTGTACTTCTCCTCCTCCTAAAGCTAGAATTCAGGGCGGTCCAGAACTAGGATGAGCATTGGAGTCCATTGTGGTCTGTTGACTAAGCTGCAATAATGACCATCGCCTTTGTACAACACGCTTCTCATATATATGTACGAGAAGCCTTTTGTATCACAGTTGCGGTTGCTGTATGGCTTTGTTTTTTCTTCTTTTGCTGTCTGATTTTTCCCCTTAGATCTGTTTTATTGAAAAAATGCTTGCAGCCCTCAGTGTCAGGATGTTGGAGGAGATGCTTCGTTATGATGGCTCTTAGAACAGCTTCCCCAGGAAACGAGGCTGCCCCCCAATTTCATTAACATTCTGGTTTCTCGACCTCAGCAATTTGAAGATGTGTGGACTTCAACTCCCAGAATTCCCCAGCCAGC